CACACACACACACACACACACACACACACACACACACACACACACACTCCTTCATACTTCCCAGGGGCTACTATTATGTAATCAGTAACCTCTGCTCCAGCAGAAGAAAAGCAAAGGAAGAGAAAATGGGAGGGATAGACTATAGGTTGAAGATTTGGTATAAATAGGACGAAGAATTAGGAACTGAGAGGATAGCTCACACAGCTTTCAGCAAGGAGCTTCCTAGAATAGCATGGAGAAAGAGTAAAGGTGATTGGGCAGCTTTGACGAGCAAAGCACAAAGGAAGGATACCCAGTCCGTGCAGGGCCATCACTAGAATTAGGTCCCTAGAAGCTGTCTTTCTAGGAAATATGTGTGTGTGTTGGGGGTGGGGGGTAGGAGGGCATGGCGTTGTTTCTTCCACTGCTTTTCCAAGCCCATCACCTGAGAATTTCGCAGCTACATAGAAACCTCTACCTGATAACCAGCTTGTGGCTTAGGTCAGATTTGGAACACTTCTCACTTGGCTCTTCAGAAATGCCTTAGATGTCATAGTATGTGATTTAGGAAAAAAAAATTACAATGGTGCCTTATTATGTAAGTAATTTTCTCCATTTTAGAAAAGCAGTGGGTAAATGTATTAAATTGAGTTTATTTATTTCTTGAAATGTACATTATGGCTGCATGAATTTCCGAAGCATTAATTTGAAACAAAACTCAGTGGGCCTCTGTGATAGCTAGCCTAAAATGAGCACAGTTATCAATTACTAAATGACTGCCACCGGCACTGGATATGGAGGTCTCAGTATTTGCGGTCACTATAAAAGTAGCCAAATGCTTTTAGGAGTCAATTCAAGAGACTATAAAAAGTTGAAAACTTACAGAGAACTTCCTTATTTGGTGGGGAAAAAAAAAATGAATGAATGCTTTCCAAGTCCAGTCTTCTAGGGTAACTTGGATTAGATGTTCCCAAGGACAGAGGGACAGAGGAGCAACAGACAGACAGCCAAGGGGAAGTTGAAGGTATAATTTTTATTTAATTGTTTCCACTTTTTAGGCAAGTTTTATAATATTTTTAATTTCAAGTATTTTTGGTTTTCTTAGTTCTGGTTTGTTGGTTGGGTTTTGCTGTTGTTAGTTTTTTGTTTTGTTTTGTTTTTTTGAGACAGGATTTCTCTGTGTAGCCCTGGCTGTCCTGGAATCACTCTGTAGACTACGCTGGCCTCAAACTCAGAGATCCACCTGCCTCTGCCTCCTGAATGCTGGGATTAAAAGCCTTCCCCACCATGCCCAGCCATTCAAGCGTATTTAAAAGAACAATATTTTAAGCATTTTAAATGGTAAACAGGACTTTGAAATACTAATGTAGACTTTTAAATGTTGAAGACATGACTTTTTAAGGAGCTGAGAAGATAGTTCAGCAGGAAAAGGTGCTGAAAAGGCTAACAACCTGAATTTGAGCCCTGGGATTGTGGAAAGAAAGAACCAACTCCTGCAAGTTGTACTTCAACCTCTACACATATAGTATGGCACAGGTCTCAACCCTCCAAAATAAATTTATAAAAATGTAATTTTTACAAATTAATGTTTTTGTTTTAAAACTTAACATCAGTCAGATTTGTAGTTTAGGGAAAGAATTGTAAGGATACATGATTTTAGTGTCTCTTCATAGTATATCATTTTTCTTAAAACAATAATAATAATAAAAATAATATAGAACATTTTTATTTAATAATTTAAACAAGGGCTCAAAAATGTATTTGCTGCCTCATGATTATTTTAGGCTTAAATGAGTTATCATGAACTGTAAGAAAATAAAAACTACAGCTGAAGAGATAGCTCAGAGGTTAAAAATACTGGCTGTTCAAGCGGGCCTGGGATTCCAAAAATTTAATGGCAACTCACAGCCATCTGTAACTCCAGTTCAGGAGACCTGATGAGTTCTCTGGCTTCCAAGGGCACCAGGCATGCACGTAGTAGACATACATGCATCTGGGCAAAACACTGACACATAGAAAACAAATAAATGACTATTTTTAAAAGAAAAGAAAATATGAAGGAGAAGTCAAGTTCTGGCTGCACAGCATTTTCACAGAACCTTTTTTTCTGTAGGGATAGGATAGAAAATGACTTTACATGCAGCTACCAGGTTTGAAAGTATCTCAGCATAAAAATCTAAAGACCAAGCTCAGTCAATGGCTACGACTCTACTGGGCCTTGCCATGCAAATAGGAAATGGGTTGGTCATTAGATTATCTCACATATACCACTAGGCTTTCCATGAACTATAACAGAACAACTTAAAGACAAGACTGAAATGTGTTTAATAATGTTCTCAGAGGAAAGGGTTAATTAATACATTATTTATTACTAGTCAGAGTAATCCAGATGGATAAGGGAGAGAATGAAAAAACAGAAATGATTGCATCTACCTGAAAAAGTAAATTAAGAACAGTTATATAGTAAGAAATTGGAACAGAGGGATTTAGGTTTGCTTGCTTGTTTGTTTTATGACAGTGTCTCAAGTATCCCAGGCTAGACCCAAACTCCCCATGTAGCCAAGAAGTACTTTGAACTTCTGATCCTGTCCCCACCTCCCGAGTGCTGAGGGCTGGGATTCAAATGTTCTAAACAGGCATCTGCTGACTGAATTTCTTTCCTAGTTCCTGGAATCTGGTCATGAGTATAACCAGTAAAGGATAAAGATTAAAAACTGAAAGAAGAAAGCAGCCTAAGTTGTCAGGACAGAATCTGGAGCAGGAGAGAATGGAAACTGGGGCAGTAGAAAGGGAGGATGGAGGATAAAGCTAGGCAGAGGTCAGAGGTAGGAGGTCAGAGGACAGGGAGCAGAGGGCGGGCTGGTGGCTTACCAGCAGCATTCACAATTCTGTTTGCTCTCACTGATCCTTGTGGCGTCTCGACATCCCATGTTCCATCTTCCCTGAGCTTCAGAGATGTCACTGGTGCAGGATACTTTAGAAGGGCCCCATATTTCCTAGCCCCAGCAGCCAGGGCCATTGTCAGAGAATAAGGATCGATGTGACCATCTCCTGGGTTATATAGTCCGGCCAAAATCTAAATCAACCATAAGAAAGTTAGTATTCAAAGAAAGGTATCTTTATTACTCAATGCAAATATAGCCAGCTGACAAATGTTTAATAAAACTAGACTTTAAAAGTATATCAGCTACTGGAGGTATGCATAGTAGAGTGGAGGGAAAGCATCTTGACAGCAGTTGGTATGACTTTTTTTTAAGTCATCCTCAGACTTGATCAAGAGTCACAATGAGAGTTGAATAATGTGTCACAATAACAAGCCACTTTGATAAAGCCTTGCAATGGTCTCCAATACTTGGGCATGTGCCACTAAGAACAAAGAGTATAGTTTCCAATTTAAGTGATAAAGCTAATACTAAATTCTAGCCAATGGAAAGGCAAAGGAAAGGATTATATGGCAGCTTTTGTGAGCCACTGCAAAAGATAACTAGCATATGCCCATCTTTGTTCATTTCTCTATCCTGGGGACTAGATTATGTGTGATGACTGGACTCTAACGGACATTGTGGAATAATGACACAGGAGTTAAACCCTTAGAAGAAAAACTAATGATCCAGAAGGTGACTTGATCATGGAAGTCTTAATGACTTAGTGACTATTCAGTGCTTTCTTAATTAGGGTTTTTATTGCTGTGATGAAACACCATGATGTCCCTTCCTTGGGGAGGAAAGGGTTTTGTTTTGTTTTGTTTTCATTTAGGCTCCCATCTCACAGTTCATCATCAAAGGGAGTCTCAGGACAGGAACTCAAGCAGAGGAAGAACCTGGAAGCAGGAACTAATGCAGAGGTCATGGAGAAGTACTGCTTACTGGCATGCTTTTTGTGGCTTGTTCAGCCTGCTTTCTTATAGAACTCAGGACCACCAGCCCAGGAATAGCAACTGCCACAATGGGATGAACCCGTCCCCATCCTCCTTCCTCTCAGATGACTTTAGCTTGTGTCAAGTTGACATAAAACTATCCAGTACAAATGCTTAAATGAATGAAAACTAAACTCACAGAAGCATTATTATTTCAGTTTTTCATGTTCAAAGCCAAATCTAATTCTAGTTGACATATCAGTTATAACATTTAATTATTCAATACTGTAAATAAATAAATTTATTTATTACTGTAAATACTGTAATACTGTAAATAAATAAATGAATTTATAGTTAAATAAATTTATATATCCGATATCAGCTTGGTCTGGTGGTGCAGGTCTGTAATCTCAGCTTCCAGGGATGCCAAGGCAGGATTTCAAGTTCAGCACCTGCCTGGAATAGGTTGTGTTCAAGGGCAGCTTGGGCAGCTTTGGGAGACCTTGACTCAAAACCAAAAACAAAAAATGAGGTGGTGGTATAGTTCAGCGCTAGAGTGGTAGCCTAGTGAAAGCACTAGATTTCAATATATATGTGCAAACATATATGCTTGATGAAAATTTATACTCATTCATAATCCAGTGATGACTTCTTATACAGCTGCTCTGTGTTAAGGCTTCAGGAGGAAAGAGGGTAAGGTGAGTTGACAGAGTGAGCACGGCAAATGCTATAGTGAGATCTCTGTTTGACAAGAGTTTACCATCAACTATTGTTCTTGATTATTAATATATAATATTGATTTATCTTTTAGTTAAACCATGGTTATTCTTAAACCAGCCATATAACTAAATCACCATACAGAGACTATGATTTATTTAATTGACCTAGAGCACAATGCTGGGCAATTATTACTCCATCCTAAACCTCCAAGCCTGCATAGCTTCCTCCCATTCAGATTTCCCACATTATCCTTGCTTTTTAGTCATATTTTAGGTTTGGTTCACTTCTCCTGATGTTTCCAGGTCCTTGCCTCTCTGATTTCTCCTCCCACTTCTCATTCTCTTCCCCTCCAGACCCTACTCTCTTCATTGCTCAGCATTGGCTGTTTGTTTTTACTGGCAATACAGAGAACAAATGGTAGCATGTTTACACAAACTTGAGACAAGTGATGCTTAGAATAAACATCACAATGCAATGTCTGAATGGAAGCCAGATAGTGGGGTAGAGAAATCAGCATTTGAATGAACAAGGGTAAATTGTATACATTCCACAAGAACATCATACTAACAAACTATGACTGAGGAGCCTTGATAAATGTCTTTTTCAGTGTCTGTTTGGATTATTTTGCACTCTTAGCCCTTTATTACATCGGTTAACATTCAAACTTTAAAACAACCTTGCATTTCTCAGACATACTCCACTTGAAACACCCCACTTGCTAGAATCCTTTTGGTATACTGGTGATTTCAATTTACTAGATTTTTGTTAAAAGACTTTCACATAAAAACAACAGTCTGTCTTTTCTTCTGATGTTATTGTCTGGTTTTTATATCAGAGACATACTAGCACTATAGGTTGTGTTGGGAAATATTCAGTTCTAATTTTAGAAGACTTTGTGAAGGATTCATATTAATTCTTCAAGTACCTGTTAGACTCTATCAGAGATACCGTCTGAGCCTAGGCTCTTCTTTGTCTGAATTTTTCCTAAAATTTAGTCCTTATACTAAGGATCCAGTGTAAGATACTTTGGGTCTTAAGGGCATTCACACTCCTGATGACTTGCAAATGCTACACTGGTGTTTTGTAATGGCTATGTCCTTGTTGTAGTGATCCCATGTCTATTAGGTTTGGCACTCTGCCCTGGTCCATGTGTTTCCATTGCCTATATCTTTGGGGAAATCTGTAATGAAGAGAGCTTCCAGGGAAGTGTTTCAGAGTTGACATAAAAAAAGATACGAATGGATTCTTAGTAGTGTAGTGGAGGTGGATTTTAATGAAGACAATGCCATCATACAAACCCATTCACAAGGAGCCCCTGCAGCTTGTAAAAGCTCAGAAGACCACAACATCCCAGCAACCACAGCAGTTACACAAACTCAGAAACGGGAGCTACTGACCTAGTCACTAGCTGGGAAACATAGCTGCCTTCCCTGAACAACCTGCTGGCTACCCATGCCCAGGAGGGACAATATCCTCTAGAATTTCTGAATGCAACAAACTCTTCCCACTATGTGAAATAGTTAAGCTTCTGTTTTCTGGGTCATAATAGCCAGAATTTGCATAGAAAGGGCTTAGCATGGTCTCTGTTACATAAATACTACTGTAGTAAGTATTAATGCTGCTACCAGTATGTAAACAAGAGATGATTATCCAGGAGAAAAAAGAAAACATTAAATTCCCTGTCAATCAGATTATCTTGATGAAATTCAAAGTTAGTCTAGATCTGTATCTGGCCCAGTCTGAGAGGGAAGTGCAGCTAGGAGCCAGGGGATATATGAGGAAATATAACACAGGGCTTCTTGACTTTGGAAATTAAGTAACCCCTTTCTAGAATCATCATAGCAGGTTGTTTTTCCCCAGTAGACAGCTGGTGTGTAGAAACACTTCAGTTTGAGAAATGACTAAGGTCAGAGAAAGGTATTGAACTGTTTTCTTAGTTGTCACAGGCAGAAATTTAAAAAAAAGGGTTTCTGTTGCCCTGCATACATCATTTAATAACAGCTCACCTTGTACTTTGCCCACATTCTAGCATCAATCATCTAATGTTGACATTCTAGATGTATGCATTCTACTTTTAGTTAACTCTTTAAAATATGTTTTAGATAATTTTAGTTCAAGTTGACAAAGGGAAATTGCCCTTCAAATAAATACCTTGTTTATGTTGAGTAAAGGGAACATCTCTTGGATTTTTTCAGGCTCAATAATATACTGTTCTGTTGCATGCCAGTTGGTCCGTGTCATTTGATATTTGAATTCATCTACTCTTACAGGAGTTGTAGCAAGCCTGATGCTACCCGGTTGATGGAATCCCACCACCTGTGGCAATAATTCAATAAAAGCCCAGAAGTAAGTTATTTTTAGGCACTCAAACAGTTCTTCAGCACAATGAAAGATCAAGTGAGTAAAAGAGAAATTTCTCATGTGGTGAGTAAAATATTACATAAGATATTTGCACCTTATGAAAGGATATTCAGTTAACATATAAACAGTTAAGAGCGTCCAGCTGAATACAGGCTGGAGGAGCAGGACCTGGCAAGGGAGAAGCCAGAAGGGTTAAGGAGGTACTACAGAGAACCAAAGTGTTGCTATGATGAGAGGATCGTCAGCTAACACTCATTTGGCATCTCTTAAAGTCTTTCCATTGGACAAGTTTTGGTGAAGCCCCAGGCCACACTAAAGAGAGCAGTCCTGGCCTTCATGTTGCTCACACTCTGCAGGGAAGACCAACTGCTGGCACATCAATGACAGTGGGACACCTGTGCTAAAACAGTGTGCATACATGCTGCTAGAGCACAAGGGGTTGGCTCTCTTTGTAGGGTGAGGGGAAGGTGGTTCCAGTCAGAACAGGAAGGAAGAAAACAACACAAGCTTAGAAAGCAAAGAGTTTCCAGAACATGCCAGAATTATAAGCTGTTGAGAATAATAGAAAAAAGAAAGAAATAGAGGCAAGAGAAAATGTTAGAAAGTCAGACAGGGCCTAGCTAAGAATGGGTGACTTAGACCTTGCTAAGCCTTTAGTCTTGATTCTGAAGACTCTGGGAGCTTTAGTGGCCATCAGTAAGAACAAGAACATGAAGGAACCTTTCATCTGAGACTAGGAAACAGTATGAGAAGTAAAAGGAAAGATGAGGGGCGGGGGTGCGCTGCATCTTCGCCAGGTGACAGTCACCACACCATCAGACCCCATGCACGCTACTTCCTAGGAGCAGTGACTTTTCATTTTCTAGATATAGGAACTGACTAAACAAAGTTTTTAAAGTTACTATTTATTATCTCTTCCTTAAAAAGAAAAGAACAATTACCTAGATAATACTCTTTAAAGTGATGTTAAAATCAAGCCTGGTTCTTACCGTAACCTCTCTCTCCCACAGCAAGCACTGAGCATGCATTCTATATCTGAGTGGCTGACCTCACAGATCACTTCACATTAATGCATTTACCTGTCCAGTTTCTTCTTCCAGCCGCTCGTAAAGTTTGATGCTGTCATAATGTATTTTCTTTAGGTTTATCCCAGGGTGAAAGTAAGTTGTTAAACCTGCCTTAAAAGTAGGGAAGGAAGAAAATACTGAAATAAGTTGATTATTTTGTACAGTTTTGATAACTTCTCTACTAAGAAGCAATTTAATGCAGCTAAGACATGAAGATGGATCAGGTAGATGCGGGAAAGGACATATTGTGGCAGTGAGACCCTAGAACAGATGGCTCACCACATGGTATACAAAGCAGCTTCAACCATACAAACACAGTGACAGCCAACCAATAGACATGCCCATGAAGAGCCAAAAGTCACGAGGAAAAGGGTAAAATGGAGTGAGTTAGGCGGGAGTTTCAGAACATATGTTGTTGTTGACTGCTTTTTATCTGAAATGTGTGGGACTGGAAGTATTAGATTTTGAGTTTGGATACCAGCAAAGATGGTTTAGAAGATAGAGACACCTGCCACCAAACCTGAGCCCACGGGGCAATAAGAGAAGAGAACCCAACTCCAGAAATTGTCCTCTCATTTATGGCAAGTGCATGCATACACATACACATACAAAAAAACTAATTACTTAAATGTAATTTAAAAATAAAAACATAGATTTTGAATTTTTAAATTTTGGATATTTGCATATAGATAATAATGCCTTCTTATGAGAACCTTGGTCTTAACAAAAAAGAAATCTATTTGTTTCTTGGACATTTTATATATACATTATATTACACAGTATTCCAAATAACTTTGTGAATGAAACAAGATTTGTGTATTCTGAACCATCAGAGGCCAGGTATAAGTTTCCACTTGTGTCCCTCCAGTGCTCAGAAAGTTTCAAGAGTGAACTTGTATTAGAAAATGTTGGGTGAGGCAAGTGATAGGGATTTGAGTTAGGAACTCACAGGTATGCTCCCCAAAGTAGAAGGTCTGTGGACTGGCAAGTCCTTAATCTGATCTCCACTTCACATTTGAATGGAGTCTCTTCTGTCCCCTTTCCAAACTACAATTTCTGGTGACTAGAGCGTGGCAAACAGGTGAGACTTACTCAAATATCCTGTTCTGAAAGCAAATAGAAAGCACCTACACATATTTGTTGAATAAGTATTGACTAGATTAATTATTCTTTGGAAAAATTGCTAAATATTAGAAATGCTGTAGCCCCTTCCATCAATTCTGACAGATGCACTGTAGCATCCACACCAAGAATTCTAGGCAATTGCACAAAACAAGAGTTTTCTTAATTAAGTCTCTGGGGTTTCATTTTTCACCTAATTTATCTTGGAGAGCTCATCAGAACACAATCTGTTCAAACTCAAATCTACTTAGGAGTATTTGTAATTTTCTCCTATGGGAATTTGATTCTCTGAAATTAAAAACTATTCCTATTAAAGTTAGTCAATCACCATTTACAGACCAGAAACCTAAGGCTTGTATCTAAACTTGTTGAAGTATCTAACATACAGACAAGTGGTGCTTCTGACAAAAGTCCCACCTCGCTTCCTGAGCCACTGTGTAACTCAGCTCCTGTGAGAATAGAGAAATGCTTCCACTACAGGGACTGCTGGCAGGGTTTTTGAATCATGGCCAAACAAATCCTCTCTTTTCCTTTTAATGTTTGATATTCAGTCTGTGTATGAAATTTCCTCATTCAACCACACATCTCTGGGGTCATCTGCCCCTGACCCCAATTCTGTTCAATGTATCTTCTACCCACTCCGTGAGGAAATGAATGCTCTTTAGTATTGACCAAAGCTTTGATTATTCCTGCAGGTCTTGTAAGCCATATCCTGGGTGAATCCAGGTATTTTAATCAGTATTCTATTACTGGGAAGAGACACCATGACCACAGCAAACCTTATAAAAGAAAAGCATTTAACTGGGGCTGGCTTACACCTTCAGAAATTTAGTCCATTATCATCATGGTGTGGTGCATGGTAGCATGCATAATTCTATATACATATCCACAGGCAACAGGAGAAAAGAGAGACACTAGGCCTGGCTTGAGCTTTTAAAACCTCAAATCCCACCTCTACTGACATACTTCCTCCAATTTCAACAAGGCCACATCTCCTAATCCCTCTCAAGTAGTGCCACTCCCTAATGAGCAAGCATTCAAATATATGAGCCCATGGGCATCATTCCTATTCAAACCACCACACCAGGCCACCAGAAGGTTCCATTATCTACATTCACTATATTCTACTATAGAGTGTATTCTTTGTTCCTCTGCCCTAGAAATCAGGGGCTAAAGAATTTTCATCTGAAAGAACCACATGGACTCTTTAAAGACAATTATCTCAGTGTACATTGTTTAGGGAACAAATTCTTTTGAAAACACATAGCCAAGAAAAAGTTAATCCTCTTACTGAAAGTGAATATCCATGTAACAACAGGCCATGTTTCTCTCTCTTCTTTGTTGCTGGACAATCAGGAAGAGTGCAAATGGGGTTTCCTAGCCATAACAACTAGTTATCAGTTTTCTTTTTAATGTTAATTTGTTTTTTAATTTGTGTTTAAAATTCAGTTATCCACATCATGCTTCTACTGCATTCAAATTATTCAAATCTTGCATACTGTCTATTGTTAATTAAATAACTGTTCTGTGACATTTGGACATGTGGAATACATGGTGTTTTTCTGTTCTGTGACTGCAACATGGATATAGCAAATAAAAATTTTGAGAAAGATAAAAAGTATTGGTTTTATCCTTCAGGTACATGGTTAAATGCTAGGCTACAGAGCTGGGATGTAAGAAGTAAGGGAGCTGAAGAGATAGCTTACAGGTTCAGAATCCCAGGTTCTGGTAAGGCCAGAGAGGCCTTCCTAGCAAGAGACCCTGCTTTGACTTGAAAAAAGAAACATTAGAGTTGATAGAGAAGAAGAAAGGAAAGAGACAGAACCCTTCAGAAGCATAGCCCTTGGAAGCCAGGTGTGAGGTTCAGGGACTCACACCTGTACTAGTGAAGTAGAAGCAGGAAGATCAGAAGTCCAAGGTCATCCTTGCCTATATAGTGAGTTCAAGACCAACCTGGGTTACATGAGACCCTGTCTCAAACAAATAAGCACACATGCATGGACACACACATACATTTTTGAGTAAGTTCAGAATTTGCAAATTCTTATTGACATAAATTTAAAATAACAAGAAAAGAAAACTTTTCCCTGTAGTGCACTGATGATTACCAAGTATGAAAACAAACAAACAAACAAACAAACAAACAAACAAACACCAAAACTTCAGGAGTTAGAAAAAGCATCAAAGGATGCTAAAGAATGGGGAATGTGTTGGATACCAACTCCTGGTGTGATCGCTGCGTCTAATAATCTTTCCTGTCTTTCAGGGGCCTCTACTACCGCAGAAAACTCAGCCACTCACCTAAGCAGTCATGTATCCCAGTGCCTCCAAATCTTTTATTTATATACTTACACGCAGATGTTTGCACATAACCACTAAGATATTCTTATGCACATAACATGTAAATATAGGTTACCATATTAATAGAGATTATGAAGAACATTAAATGAGCTTGAGATGAGTAAAATATTTTAAATATTTTTTGTCTTACTTATTGTCCCAGAAAGCTTTTGAATATTAAGCTCATAAATCACATTTTCGATAGAGTATTGTGATTAACCCATTATTAAGCTGTAAATACACTAGATTAAACTGTGAAAATACAGCCTGGTTCTAGGCTTGCTTTATGTCTAGGATGGTTCATTCAGTTATTTATTCATTTGTTTGTTTTCTTTTTCTTTAAGAAGTCTCCTTGTGTAGCCCAGGCTAGCATTAAGTAATTCTTCTTCTTCTCCTCCTCCTCCTTCATCCTCCTCTCTGGTTTTTCAAGACAATGCTTCTCTGTGTAGCTCTGGCTGGCCTGGAGCTCACGCTGTAGACCAGGCTGGCCTCAAACTCAGAGATCTACCTCCCTGTGCCTACAGACTGCTAGGATTAAATGTCAGCGCCACCATCACTTTTCTGTCATTTAAAATTTCAAGTTTTCTGTGTATTAGTTTCTTTTCTCATTATGAACAAATTTCAGATGAGAAGCCACTTAAGGAATGAAGGGTTTGTTTTGCCTCCAATTGAGGATTGTAGTCTATCATGGTGGAAAGGCACAGAAGAAAGACAGTTTTTTCTCTGCTTCTGCCCTTGGGAAGCAGAGAGATGAATTCTGGGTCTCAGTTTTGTTTTTTGTTTTGTTTTGTTTTGTTTTGTTTTATTCAGCTGGGGACCCTGGCACATGGCATGATGCTACCCACATTCAGGTGGGTCTTCCCACCTTGATTAACACAACCTAGCAGCTCCTTCACAGATATGCCCAGAGGTGTGTCTCCCAGGTGACACTAGAGTCTGTCAGGTTGACAACTGCTATTAACTAGCACTGACAACTAACATTCTTCCTAGGCCATTTGCACTTGGCACAAGACGCTTCTCAACCCAAAACGGACCCAAGTAGAACTAGTGTCCTCTTGGCTATGTACTCTGTGTTTTAAACTTCCTCCTCTATCCCAAGGATTCGCCACTGCATTGACCTACACAAAGGTTTCTGTCTGAGGAAACCTTCTGTTCTATCACATTCTCTTGTCTCTCTGTTCTTGCTACAACTTGGAAAATACCACACTCCACTCTTTGTATTTTAAATAAATGGGAACAAATCCTACTAGAATTCCTTTTCAGAAAAAAATTAAAAATTCTATCTCTCATATCAGAGAGAGCCCTCTACCTAAGAGATATGATTTAGATTAGAAAATCTAACCATAATATCCACATTTTCTAAACCTTTTAACATGCTTTCTTCCCAACAGGACAGCTTTTTGCAAGCCAGCTGTCCTCTCTTGTTAAAGCATCTTCCTTACCTGGAAGGAGGAGTCCACACCTATTTTTTCTTTAGCACTGGGACCAAGCCTGGGGCCTTGCTCACACATCCTACATAAGTGTGCTACTGTTAAATTGCATTCCTAGACATTTTTTTTGTAAATGCAGTCACAATTATTTATTTATTCACTTTACATCTTGATTGTAGCACCCTCCCTCTTCCCCTCTCTCCTTCTTCCCCCTTTTCCCTGTGTCCTGGCAGGGTTACGGAGTCATGTCAGAGACAGGCCCCGTTCCTTTACTAAGGGACCTACAAAAAGCTCAAGCTGCCCATCTGCTACATCTGTAAAGGGGGCCTGGGTCCAGTCCATATACAGTCCTTGATTGGTGCTTCAGATTCCTCAAGGTCCTCTGGATCCTGGTTTGTGGGCTCTGTTGGTCTCCTTGTGGAGCTCCTGTCATCTCCAGGTCCTTCTATCCTTCCCCCAACTTTTCTAGAAGACTGCCTATGCTTCACTCAATGTTTGGCTGTCATTCTCAGCATCTGTTTTTATCCGCTGCTGGGTGAAGCCTCTCAGAGGACAGCTATGCTAGGTGCCCATCTGCAAGCATAAGAGAATATCGTCAATAGTGTCAGGGACTGGCTTTCTCTTATGGGGTGGGTCTCCGGTTGGGCCAGGCATTAGTTGGACATTCCTTCAATCTCTGCTCTATCTTTACTCCTGCATATCTTGTAGGCAGGGTAAATTTTGGGTTGAAGTTTTTTCCAAACATATCTTTTAAAGCTTATATATTTGCTATGTAGAAATCACCCACATCCATTTGGTTTACCAACAAAGGTCAGCACATTTGGGACACTTGCCTTTTTGTAAAAGAAACACATACTTAAATTTCACAACCCTTTTCATTACTTCCAGGTAACAAGTCTTTCCATAGTCTTTCTCTCAACCTCAATCCCCTCCTCTTCCTTTCCTCACACACTAGACTTCTTAAAGTCTCAGTGAAGCTAGTCACAATGGTGGCCTCACACAGCAATATGTCAATCATATCAGATGTTACTTTTATTAGTAAAGTTTAATTTCTTTCTTATGTATGTAAATAAGCAGAAAGTTCTAGATTATCTTTCAACACTCCAAATGGAGCACCTTGGGTCTTCCCTCTTTAGATCTTTATGTGCTATGATGTCATTCCCACGGAAGTGGGCCACCATGTTCTCCAAAACTGCTTCTGATGCCATTTGTCATGTACTGATGAGAAAACCCTGTTAAAGTGAGCAAGACCTAGGGATTTGCAGACTTGATCCCACTTTGCACATTTGGTCTCAGGCTGTGCTGTACCTTGTGGACACTTACATTACAGAAAACATATTGCATTCCAAGGACCTTGGGATTACTGCCTTCACAGCCTGTCCATTTAGCTCTTGTTCCAACTTTTCACATTCTCAACCTGTCCTCAAATATCTCTGCTGAAAATTCTTGGCATGGGAACTTCCTGATGTCATTACTTACAGAGAAGACTCATGGACTTTGTAGAAGCTCCCAGAATCACTTCTTAGGACAGGGCATGTCCTGTCCTTTACTCCAAGGGGCACAACTCACCCAGTTGCTGCTGTTGACTCTCCAGTGGTCTCTATGGTGGTCCCCTATTTGGCTTAATGCCCTGTCTACAGGGGCTGGGGTGCTTTCCCCACTATTTTGATATATCTTTGATTAGGAAAAATATTTTACACAGTTAATTTCACATAAGGTTTATGCCTATTCTACAATAGGCATAATTTAAATGCTGATTTATGTACCCGCCATGTCTGGCTGCAATCCTTGTTCTAAGAATCTCCTGTCTTACTGTTGTGCATGCACTGCTCCTCAATTGTCTGTTGATGCGCCAATAAAGCAGCTTACAGCCAATCACTGAGCAGGGAAGAGAATAGAGCTGGACTTCCTGCCAGCAAGGGGAAGAGGAGTTAGAGGAGGAAGAAGGAATTGAGCCACTATTAGAGGTTCAAGAGCGATCAGGAGAAGGAGCTGGAGTGAGAAACCTCCAAAGTGCAAGTGTCTCTGGGATGTATGTCGGGAGGAAACCAGATTAACTTAGAGGGTTAAGAATAGAGTAATAACTGCTCAGTTCTTGGGCTGTGAACCTTGTTAAAATAATAGAGTCTCAATTATCTGTGTGATAGCCAAGTTAAGAGAGAGACTAAGAAACAAATACAATTTTATAAAAATAACACTATTGTCTCAAAAATCTTTGCCTGCTTGTCTTAAAAGAGTTCAGGCTAAGGTGCATATATTGTCTTGGTGGAACATCTAACTCTGGTATATCTACTCTGAAATGTAAGCTACACCAAATCAGTGAACAAGTAAGTCATTCCAATTTTAATGTGTATCTTCTGCCTGACCCATGTAGTTGTCAGAAAGTGTGGGGCAGTCTATGCACCCCTGGGAACCTAGTTCCCTTTGCCTCTGCCTAACTGTCCTTGCTTGGTTAACCTCAAGGCCCCTGTACAACCCTTGCCCCCTGCTTCCTACTCTTTTTAGTGCCCCTTCTTAGAGTTATCCCCTGACTGTTCCTGTTGCATTCTGTACTCCTGGCTAAGTTTCTCTTTTCTTTAAGGCTCAGGTTCCACTCTAAGTGTTTTCTGTCTGTGACCAAGACTAACTCCGGAAGGAAAGGACTGCTTTGTTTCCTCATGACCTCCTTCTGAGAGAATGTGAGGGTTTGAACGAAAATGGCCCCCATAGTCTCACAGGGAGTGGCACTATTGGGAGACATGGCCTTTGGAGTGGGTGTGCTCTTGTTAGAGGAAGTATATCACTGGAGTGGGCTTTGGTGTTTCAGAAGCCAAAACCAGGCCCAGCTTTCACTCTGTCTTCCTGCTTCCTGCAGATTTGGATGTAGAACTCTCAGTTACCTCTCCAGTACCATATCTGCCTACATGCTGCCATGCTTCTTGCCATAATGGCAATAGACTAAAAGTTAAGTGCATTCCTTTAGAAGAGTTGTCATGGTTGTGGTGTCTCTTCACAGCAATAGAAATAATACACTGATCATGATGTCCTTTTGATTTGAGTGATAATAAAATGCATGCTGTAACAAAATGGAAGATCCATGAGGAGCAAGCCAATAAGCAGCACCCCTCCAAGGCCTCTGCATCAGGTCCTGCCTCCAGGGTCCTGCCCTGACTGCTTTTGATGATGAAACTGCCCTGACTGCTTTTTGATATGAAACTGTGAGTGAAATAAACCTATTCCTCCAAGCTGCTTTTGGATCTTCACATTTGCTGTTTCATCACAACGATAGTAACCTTAAGTTGCACACTAAGGAAAAAATAGAGAAGGACAACATGAAGTCTACATAGAAAATCTAGTTTGGGGAGGTGAGACAGACTTCAGCAGGCAGGAGGAAGGCGGTGGGAAACCAGTGACAGTGACAGAAGACACCTGTGGTGAGAAGACTGCTATGGACAGATGGTGTGAGGTGCCCATCCTCCCTTCCACACTGAGGATGACGGATTGGAGGGAGAAGAGTTGGATTTGATGCTGTCTTTTCAGGAGTGCTGGCTTACCAGTGTGCATGGGCTGACTGCAACTGACTGAGCTTGAGTCTGGACTGGGCAACACCGTTCACACACATTCAGCCTTGACATCCATTCCTATCCAGACATCTGACCCATGTTTTGGGTGTGTGCCCAGCCAAGCATCAAGAAGCCCTGGAAGAGAGTTCCCTTTTTCTCTCCCCACCACAGGAATGCTGATTATGGAACAAGGTGGTTAACAAGGCCAAGATCTTCCTCAAATTAAATGTGTGTGTGTGTGTGTGTGTGTGTGTGTGTGTGTGTGTGTGTGCAATTCTCTAGTGCAGTGAAGACAGGCTGCATCACTACAGCAATGGCCTATGCTGGCTACAGGATGAAACTTTGCTGTAGAATACAAAGCAAAACCAACTCAGAACGTGGAACCAACAGAAAATGGAAACTGAAGAAGCTTTCTGGAAGTTACAGGGGTAGAAAATGGCAAAGCCTGTATCAGAATCCAGAATCCAGAACTTTATGTTTAACATAAAGTCCATCCAAATAACGACTTTCCACTTCCTGGAAGCACATCAGTCAGGTGACAGGATGCTTCCTGGTGAGGTGAGGGGGTCCCATACCCTGAAAAGCTCAATATGGGGAGTTGTGAATGGGAGAAACTTGTGCAGAGTTTTCAGGGCACAGAACAGTTTGAGTGTTCTCCTTACTGCGTGCCAGGTAGAGCCAGCTGTGAGCTCCGACTTCTCCAGCAGGACCACATCTTTCATTCCTGCCTTGGCCAGATGATAAGCCAGACTCACGCCCACACAGCCTCCTCCAATGATCACGGTCTCTGCTTTGTCCTTCCATTCTGGGGGTGAGGATGGGCTTTCTTGTCTGGAAGAGAGTATTATATGATGACTCACATGAAGATAGCAGGTTCCCTCTCCTGCTTGTCTCTGGAACCTCACACCTACAGGCTTCAATTTGAACTTAGAAACCTGGGCCATCTGAACCTTGACTGGGCGACCTAACCCAAACGTAGCTAAAGGAAATGAGCAGTACCAAGCAGAAGCAGCTGTTTCTTTCTCAATCTAGATATCATTTTCCTCATTTGAAAAGCACATTCTGGAGCTGGCACATGGTAACATGGAGCTGTGCAAGCCCGAGGTCCTGAGTTTGATGCCAAGAATCAAACAAAGGTGGGCATGATAGCTCCCACCGGTAATCTTAGCACCAGTGAAGTAGAGACAAAGAAAAACCTTTTGTCTTGCTAGCTAGCCTTCCTGGCCTATTCATTGAGAGACTCTGTCTCAAAAAACAATTTGGAGAGCAATTGAACAAGGCACCCAACATCTGGTCTGCACATGCCTGCGCCCCAACACACTCTCATTGATTTAATCTGTGAAAAAGCCCTACTCTTTATGTAGTTTGGTACCTGTGGATCCTCTTCTCTCCAGTGCTTTCCAGGCTAAAGAGAGATGGATGGAGAAACATCCTCCTCTCTCAGCTGTCATCAGTTTGCAGGATGACCTTCCAAACTGCACTGTGAGCCTTTTGAAGTCAAGGTCAATAACATATTCATCATTGATCCCAGCTCCCTCCTGATGCCCACAGTACGTACATCTGATCTCAGCCCTACACCGGCATGCCTTCCCTACACAAGTGCCTACATGATGGGATTCTAGCATTGGCAGGGCTCTTAGGCAGGGTAGTGCTCTTCTTTGTCATTGCCACATCTTCCTCTTTACTTATTAAACACTTCCTGTGTTCTTGCCGTGCATGGAGCTGAACACACAGGGCCTCAGAGCTCTGAAGCTTACAACAGACCCAGGAAAGTGAACAAGCAGAACTAAAAATGTGGCCACTGCAGCAATGAAGCTCTCTGGAGGAAGGGGTGGAGTTACAGGAACGAATAATAGCAGCACATGAGGAAGACTGAAGCAGGCAAGCTGGAACATGACGGCTCTCAGGCCGCAGGGGCACTCAGCTCAGGGAAGGCCAGGTTCTGAAAGGCTCTGAGGTTGCATGTGGAGAAGCCCTAAGAGTCTGGCTCTCCTTAACACAAAGGACATTCAGTAAATGCTGTGAAACATGGCTGAAGAAGGTGATTTAAAAAAAAAAAAGATTTATTATGTGTACAGTATTCCACCTCTATGTATGCTTACAGATCTCATTATAGATGGTTGTGAGCTACCATGTGATTGCTGGGAATTGAACTCAACACCTCTGGAAGGGCAAACAGCCAGAGCTCTTAAACTCTGAGCCATCTCTCCAGCCCAAGAATGTGATTCATTAATTGCTTAGTTCTTATGTTTTTCCCTAATTATAAATCTCTTTATTCCATTAGTGTCTAACATAGAAAGTCACAGAGTGAATTAATAAGAATTCTAGGAAGATTCTCCAAGCTTTATTTAGTCACCAAATCCAAAAGTTGTCATCTTAAGTATGAGGATTGTTGTTTTGTTTGTTTATTTTTGTTTTGTTTGCTTTTCAAGACAAGGTTTCTCTGTATAGCCCTGGCCATCCTGGAACATGCTATGTAAACTAGGCTGGTATTAAAGTCAGAGATCCAGCTGGGCTGTGGTGGTACATGCCTTTAATGCCAGCACTCAGGAGGCAGAGGCAAATGGATCTCTGTGAGTTTGAGGCCAGCCTGGTCTACAATGCAAGTCCAGGACAGCCAGGGCTACACAGAAACCTTGTCTCACAGAACTAAGAATAAACTTAGAGATCTACCTAATCTCTGCCTCCCTAGTGCTGGGATTAAAGGCATGAACAACCAGTACAGGCTTAAGAATATGTTTTAACTTGAGAAAAAAATAGGCAGGAACCTTGCCTCGAACTGACATGACAGTAGCTGCTGTGTCTGTCATATTACACCTTATTTGGGAAAAAGCAATATGTTTGTGTGACGAAGATTAAATTGTTGAATGTCTTGAAGTCTAAATTCTAACCTGCCTTCAAGGTTTGTCAGACAAAACTCACATATTCTTCATAGGTTTAGCAACATGGGGTGTGACTTTGTATTCATACACACAATTCAAACTGACAGAAAAGTTGCCAAACTTGTAGAAAGAACTCTTAGAATTCTGTCTTTTTTGTTGCTCTGCTTTTGAGACAGAGTCTCAGTACGTATCTTACACAGCCTAAGATGGCCTTGAGGTTGATATTGTCCTGCCTCAGTTTCCCCAGAGCTGGGATTTCAGGCTTTTGCCACCACAGCCAGCCTGTCTTACAGTTTTTAGAAGAGAAGTGACATTTGTGATTTCTCTCAGTATCTGCATTATGTGTAATATATGCACATGTGTAATATGCATATGGCATATACACACTCACATAGTAGTGAATAAAGACTTTAATGTTACACAGTATTTGAATAAGCAGTTTTAAGCACATTGACAGATGATCCATGCCTCTCTATTTCCTTCCATATTAGGTGCAGTGTCCCAGCTGTGATGCCTTATAGCTTACAGATCTCTCCACGCGCGTTCCTTCACTCACTCGTAGTTTATGGCTTTCCTGTGAGCCTGGCGGAGCAGTATTAGTGTTCTACCTTTGTTGATGAGGAAATTGTGCTCAACAGGCAGTTGCTGTGTCTGATGGAGCCATACCTGCTCCGCACACCACAGGCACCATGTAAACACCTGTTGATGCAGGGATGGCCGGATGCAACTCAACAACTGCCTTTGCAGACCGTAGGATATAAAACTGGGTCACAATAGTGTTTGTTGAGTGAGGCTGTGAAAAGAAACCCCATCTTGCCACCATGAATGATGTCAGGAATGACATCAGGACAGAAATGTCAAAAGACACTGTCAAGCTTTGTTTACATACAGACAGACACTACAGGAAAATTACATGTCTCTTTCGGTTTCACAACCCTACTCTGGGAGCCAAGGAAGAAGTGGGAAACAAGTACCCAGCAGAGGGGTATCCGAATTTCACAGGAACTTCGCTGTTTTTAATCTTTCATCAAAACAAACAAAACAAAATATTTAAATTTTATTAAAAAAAAACGATTTTAAAACAAAACAAAAACATTGCCCAAACATATGTGCATAAAAATATCAGAGTCATGTTCTCCATGGTAACAACCAACCAGAAGCAGTCTAATTGATAATGAGTAGGCTGCTTAGTTATATTATAGAATATTGATAAGATGAAAAACTATGCAGCCATTAAAAAGAATAAGGTAAATCAATAAGCCCTGGTATAGAATAATCTCGAAGACATATTAATCATTAAAAACAAAACATGATAACAACTACCATCAAGGTGCGAGGGAAACAGAGACAAGAGCATTCAGCTCTTTGAGCACAGTAGACTCTTAGAGACACTGCTCACCACTGACTGGCCGGGGGATGGGGCCAGCGAGAAGCATAGTTTTACCTGGTAATTAGCAGGTAACCCCGGGAGAATCACGGCCCATTCCTGGGAGCCAGGGAGCCTGCCTGGAAGCCTCCTAGTAACCCGCGGCAGACAGCACTCACCCTTCCCGGAAGCCGGCGGCGGTCCAGCGCCCGGGGGAGCCCCGCAGCGCAAGGCTCCTCAACCGCAGCGAGCCCGAGCGGAGCATGGCGAAGACAGACAGACCTCGCCCCTAGGCTGGAGGCAGCCTGGGTTGGGGTGGATATGGGAGTAGGGGTGAGTCCTCCCACGGAGGGGCGGGCTCCCGCACCGCTGCGCTTCCGGGACCGGCGCCACCGGGACCTGCGCCTGCACAGTAGCTGCTACATGGCACCAGCCGGAGGCCCGCGGGTCAAGAAGGTGAGTGTCCTTAAGACCTTCTTCCCTTCTTTAAGAAGTTCGAACCCTGCCTCAACTACTAGCTAAACCTAAGGTCTTAGCACGACAGAGGGACTGGCGGCCCAGAGCCTCAGTTTACCGGATTGCAGGTGGATTAGCATTCTTTATTTTTTAATTAACAAATATTTTTTAACTTACTTCTTTCTTTCTTTCTTTCTTTCTTTCTTTCTTTCTTTCTTTCTTTCTTTCTTTCTTTCTTTCTTTCTTTCTTTCTCTCTCTCTCTCTCTCTCTCTCTCTTTCTTTCTTTCTTTCTTTCTTTCTATTAATTACAGTTTATTCACTTTGTATCTCCCCATAAGCCCTTCCCTCCTCCCCTCCCCAGATTGCTTTCTAGAGTGGTTGTACAAGTTTACATTCCCACCAGCAGTGGAGGAGGGTTCCCCTGTCTCCACAATTTCTCCAGCATGTGTTGTCACTTGAGTTTTTCATCTTGGCCATTCTCATGGGTGTAAGGTGAAATCTCAGTGTCGTTTTGATTTGCATTTCCCTAATGGCTAATGACGTTGAGCATTTCTTTAAGTGTTTCTCTGCCATTCGATATTCCTCTACAGAGAGTTCTCTGTTTAGCTCTGTTCCCCATTTTTTAAGTGGATTCCTTGGTTTGCTGTTTTTTCTTAAAGCCTTTAACCAACCCAGAGTTTCTGCATTTGCTGGAAAGTGAGGCCCAAAGCGTCAGTGGTCACAGAAGAGAGATCTGAGGTCAAGCTCTTGGACTCAGAGAACCCTCATTTTTCTCAATTGAGAGGTAGCCCCTTGGAGGTTCCCTTGTTCCTGTCAGTTTCCCTAAGGTTTTGGAAGTGCGTCAACCTGGCCCTGGGCTTCACACCTGTTCTGTGTGAAGAAAGGATACTGTGCAGTTCACAGGGTTGGGTATGGGGGTCCCCTCTGTTGCCTGCAGCGGACACTCTCACATCTGGCCCTTCCCTGGTGGCGGCTTCCCACAGCACTGAGGACATGTGAGAGCAAGGGGTAGCCAAACAAGCAGAAAGGCATGAACTTGGAGAAGGGGTCTCCCAGGATCCCCCAGAACAGCTCACCCGGACACATAATTTAGAGTTCTGGGGGCAGAAGAGGCTGGAAGCATGCACCTCTGCTTTACAAATGCTAAGAAACTGGGCACAGAGGTGACCCAAAGAGTGAAGTTCAGGTTCAGTCACCAACTAAGTTGTTAGTCAGCCATTAACAGCTCCAAGTGAGAGAGGAATGGGAGAGTCTACACATCACAGATCCACCCTAACAGTAATTACAGCCAGACCAGCAGAAGACCTGTCCAGTCAGGGTCTTAAAAGATGGGTTTTTGTTGTTTTGTTACTGTTTTTGTTGGTGGTGTTTGTTATTGTTTTTGTTGTTGGTTGTTTGTTTTTTGAGTGATGCTCTTCTTATGTAGGAAGGAAATGAGATTAATAAAAAGACTCCTTTTAAAGGTGAAGAACACTGTGCTGCCTTCCTTCTGTAATGCTGTGCTTGTTTTTTTTATAATTCGCTTTTAAAAATAATTTTATTATATTTATGTATGCATTCATTCATTGTGTGTGTCTATGGGCATGTACATCCTATGTTGAACCTGTAGAGGTCAAAGGACAACTTGCAGAAATTGGTTCTCCCTTCTAACAATTGTGACCAAGTAATTAAACTCTGTTGGCGATTGTACTCAGTAATAATGTTTGGCAGCAAGCACCCTTAATTAATAAATCATCTTTCTAGCCCATAACACATGTTTTCATTTTAATTTTACAAGAGTGTTTTTCTTTTTTCAGAGAGGGTCTCACCTTGTAGGCTTGCATGGCCTGAAACTCCCTGAAACAGGCCAGCCTCAAACTTGCAGAGACCAGCTGCCGCTGCCTCCCAAGTGCTGGGATTAAAGACTGTACTCCTAGCTATTCACTTTTTAAAAAGGTGTTAGGGGGCCAGTGTGATGATGCATGCCTTTAATCCCAGCTCTCAGGCAGCCAAGGCAGATAGATCTCTGAGTTTGAGGCAAACCTGGTTTACATAGTAAGTTCCAGGCTACCCAGGACTACATAGTCAGACCCTGTCACAAACAAACAAGAAGGTAATGAAAACATTCTGGTCCCATTCCTCTGGGGACCCTGATTCTGAACCAGCACAGCTGTTGCATACTGGACCCTGTTAAGATATCCCTGGAAGTGAAGTAGGGTCTATCCCTCCTCAGCTACAGGCACAGGACATCAGTGCCTTTGCCTGCTGTTGTGCAATTGAACAGCTGATGCCTCCACCCCATTCCCCAAAGCTGCCCTGCCAGAGAAGCCTGGCAGATGGGGGTTTGAGTAGACTGACTCTGTGTCAGGACAAATGGCCTCCTCTAGGATCAACAGCCTCATCCTAAGCCCAGATGGTAAATCCAGAAGTGCTGGGGTTGATATAGTCAAAACAGAGGTATAAAGGAACTCTGAGCCTACACTATCTGATCAGGCACACTGCCAAACATGGAGAGCGAATGAGAAGGCAAGACGGCTGCAGGAAAATCTATATTCTCTGCATTGGATTCTGGCTGTCCTTGTCACTTGAAGCTGTCATTAGAATTAAGACGAGAGATGGGTTCAAATATCAATAATTAACTATTTTGATAATGACAATGAAGAAAACGAAGAATTTAAAATGTTGGGCAAAGGACTTGGAAGGTGGTTCAGCAGTTAAAAAAGAGTCCTTGCTGCTCATCCAGAGGACTTGAGTTCAGTTTCCAGCCCAAATGTTAGGTGCCTCACAACCACCTGAAATCAGTTCCAGGAGATCTGATGCCCTCTGGCCTTGTAGGTCACTGCACACACATGCCCACAAACATGCATATACACAAATAAAATTTAATATAAATCTTTAAATAAAATATCGGACAAACTTCCAGATAAGAAATGAAAATGTCAGACCTTCTATCCTGTCTCACAAAGACACAGTCAAAAATCTGCATTACTTTTTTGTTGTTGTTGTTGTTAAGCCTGCTACTTTTTTATTAAAGATTGTTTGGTTTTGCTTCTCAGTACACGGATTCTATCACTTATGCATCTGATGTTTTCAGAACTATTCAGAACCTAAGTGTAGTTCATTAAGAATCTCTCCTTTATTAGATGCTGGTAGAGGTAGGAGAGATAGAGACAAATAAACTATGTCACCTGCCCCTGCACATCTTACCATCAAAGTGAAACAGGCAAGTGACCAGACAGTGTTGGACAGGTAGGCCCATGGATGAAGATACTGAAGTTGTTAGCACATAAGGAAAGGACAATAACAGAT